CTACATCTCAATTGAAACGGCAACCCTGTGTCGTGGCAACTTCACCCCATTGGCTAGTACAGTTACGCAAGCAACCCATAAACTATCGGCGACAAACCGACACACAAGCCGCATATAATAAAGATATTTATTTATTTCATTTTATTTGTTTTTTCATCGTTGCCGTTTTTTGCCGGTTGCATATTTCCGAATTCTATTACATATAGAAGTTAAATTTATTTATTAAATGTTAAATGCACTTGCTGTTGTATTTTTAATTTTTCCGGCTTAGCTTTCGCAAAATATTCGTCACGGGCTACACTGCACGGGGAATAAAACAATTTACAGTTACGCAAGTAACCAATAAACTATCGGCGACAAACACTTAAGCCGCTTACATATAGAGAGATTACAAAGTTGTTTACAAAGTTGTTACAAAGTTGTATTGTTCTCAGTTTCGATAATTTGTCTTTTGATAGTTCTTTTATTAGTCCGAAGGGGCAATTTGCCCTAAAGGACTATTAATTTCGTTTTGGCATTTTGGGTTGAAAACTATAAACGGTGAATCCCTTTTCAAATTGTTGACACCAAATATTATCGTCTTGTATTATATTATATTTAAAGATATTGCATAATGAAGAAATCTCCATGAATGTATGCAAGTTTCTTTCATTGTGATAAAACAACGGTACCCAGAGCTATCAAAATTTGAATAACGTAACCTTCCATTAGAATATGGACATGTGGAAGCCCTACTTTGAATTTGAAATTTGTTTAATTATCGATTTCATATTTTGCAACACTAACGAATTTTTGATTAACAAACTCGACGATTTCAACGCGAGCAATGGCAACACAGTACGAAAAAAAAAATTTTTTATCTCCAATGCGAGAGTGTGTATCGGAAATTCTAAAGATATGCTCATTTTAAAATTATTTTGCGACATTGCCGCTAAGCTGAATTGAGCATGTAGAACATGATATTTAATACATAAAGCTACACACAAAACGATAAAAGAACGCCCCTCTGAACGTAATTTAAGATCTGAAACTTTTCAGATTTTTTTTATTATTCATTTTTTTAATTTTATTTTTTATAAATTATAATAAATGTTCCCGTTCGTTTAGAAATGCTGCATTTCCAATAATTTAGATGGATCTGAAGATGAAATTTTGTGGTCGCCTAAAAGCGTGAACAAGCGTATCATCATACCAATGTGATATAAACTGTTCTTATTCTGAAAACAGATGGATTGGTTGGTGTCAGGTCCTTTGAAAAGTCAAATGGGCTCCTTGGAGAGCCTATAACCCCTAGAGGGTGTGTCCTCAAGGTGGCAGATAGGGGAATGGTTTTTCGCGTGGTTGAAATGAAACACCTTCCGCGGACCAAAAAAAGTCCAACCTCTTGAGGCAACCTTTTTTTCATGAGAGGTCATTTCTGAAAAGAGGTCGGATTCTAAATAAATGTTCCTTTTTACTTTCTTGTGCGAAGTAAAGGAAGTATTGAAATCACGAAAAATTCCGGATACTATATTTCAACGAAAATATTCATTTTGTCCGCTATCGAATGCAAGTTAACGATGTTTTTGTAGGACAGAATAAAGATTCTTTCCTCCCCAAACGAGTTATAAAACTGATTTAAAATAGATTCAGAAGATATTTTTTGGTGGCATCTACAGACATACTTACGTATGTATGTATTTATCTCGTATAACTCCAAAACGAGTAGACTCAGAACATTGAAATTTTGAATATAGGACTGATGTAGTTGTGGACCTTACTTTTTGGTTGCAATCGGCCGCACCGAAATTATATAAATATATATACATACACACATATATACTACTAAATACACAAAGAAACTTAATAAGAGGCAAAAATAAAAAAAAAAAGTTATACCCATCCTGCACTATAGCTGCAGAATTGACTTGAAATAAACTTAGAACATCTAAAGTTAAAAGTAAACTGCAGTCAAAGTAAGGAAATTCCTCAACAATGTTAATAATTGCATCTTGGTATAAGAGGTTAAACACAATATCTAAACAATTCAAAACTGAAAAAGAAGGATCATAATAATAAAAACTCGAATATTAAAAATGCAAAAGGGAAAAAAATATAGAAGAAATAAAAATATAAAAAATAATCTACTTTCACTGAAACTTCAATTGAGAACTCATTAGGGGAAAATGAATTAAAGCTTCATAAAAGTTGATTAATATGCTTCGAAAACGTGTTTCGTTCTCCTGGTTAATTTGAGATTAAAAACCCGAAGAAAGAAACAAATTTTCATTACATTAAACTTCATGTAAAACCGAAAAAAGTGAATCTCACATGTACCAGGATTTTCCCTACACGCCCTCGGAGCACATGGAGAAAAGAATAAAACATAATAACTCCACATCATGGTGGTATATGGGAGACAGCTGTTAGATCCATGAAACTGCATTTAAAGAAATGTGACTGAATTCCAATTTTGCTAACTCTAATTGCACAAACTGAGGCATGTTTAACTTCGAGGCCAATAACTCCGATCTCAAGTGACCCCAATGATTTGACAGCTCTGACTTCTTGACACTTTACTATAGGGACTCCTTTAACAGCTATTCCAGAACAAGATTTAAGATTAACCGAACAAGTGTCTAGCTCTGACTCCTTAACACTTTACTATAGGGACTCCTTTAACAGCTATTCCAGAACAAGATTGAAGATTAACCGAACAAGTGTCTAGCTCTGACTCCTTGACACTTTACTATAGGGACTCCTTTAACAGCTATTCCAAAACAAGATTAAAGATTAACCGAACAAGTGTCTAGCTCTGACTCCTTGACACTTTACTATAGGGACTCCTTTAACAGCTATTCCAGAACAAGATTGAAGATTAACCGAACAAGTGTCTAGCTCTGACTCCTTGACACTTTACTATAGGGACTCCTTTAACAGCTTTTCCAGAACAAAATTTAAGATTAATCGAACAAGTGTCTAGCTCTGACTCCTTGACACTTTACTATAGGGACTCCTTTAACAGCTATTCCAGAACAAGACTTAAGATTAACCGAACAAGTTTCTAGCTCTGACTCCTTGACACTTTACTATAGGGACTCCTTTAACAGCTACTCCAGAACAAGATTGAAGATTAACCGAACAAGTGTCTAGCTCTGACTCCTTGACACTTTACTATAGGGACTCATTTAACAGCTATTCCAGAACAAGACTTAAGATTAACCGAACAAGTTTCTAGCTCTAACTCCTTGACACTTTACTATAGGGACTCCTCTAACAGCTATTCCAGAACAAGATTTAATCGAAATACGAATGTCTCCATTGCAGAGACGACAACTAACACAGTAGATATTCCAAGGGTTTTGGAAGCAGTGCTCTAAAGAGTACCTATTTCCAACCACAACAACGCAGCAGATGGAGACAGCCCAGCAGAAATATACGTCTGAAAATGACTTAGTTCTTGTTAAAGAAGATAATATACCTTCACTATGTTGGACACTCGGGCGAGTAAAGAAGTGTTTCCCGTAAGAGACAATAATGTCCGAGTGTTAAGACTAAAAACTATGCATGGAGATATTAAACGTCCTATTATTAAACTGTGCCTTTTGCCAGTTAATGAAATACATTGACTTTTAAGTGCCAGATTTATATTGAATAATGTTTTATTATTTTTTATATTCCTTAATATACTACTAATATTTTTATTTGTTTGTTTTAGTTTAACCATTATAGTGAACTGTTCAAATATAGCAAGCTATCAGCTGTTTTGCTAGAAGATTAGTAAGTATAATATATAACTGCTAGAAGATTGGTAAGTGTAATATGTAATTTTCTACTCTTTGAAGTTTTGTATGCTTTCAGTTTCTATATTTTTCATTTACTTGTTTGCATATCTGAAGACTGTACTGGAAATGAATGTAATTCATCTGTGTGGAGGATGTTTTGGCCTCCTCAGATAGCGGTGATTTTTACCACAGGGCTCATCGCACAAAGAGTTAATTGCGTTATCTAAGGTTAAAGGGAGCAAACACGCCAAGATGCCGGCCGTATTATTGCTAATGATATAATGCATTGTATCTGCCAGGTGGCATAAGGCTTGTAAGAAACTGTAAATAAATGTACAGTAAAATATCTCTGTGAAATTAATCAAGGAACACGCAAAGATACAGATCTGTTGGACACGAACAAAGACATTCTCTATATACAGCGATTTCTTGAATAGCTGAGTAAAAGGAATATTTATTTGGCTAATCTTTGGAATATGGTAACAGATAGCTTGGCGACATTTTGGTGAGGCGATAAAGGTTACTAGCTAGGACTGTAGCAGTGTACATGGATAAAGTCAAGAGTGTGCGCAATGCCATTTTTGTGCAATTCTGGGATATTTTTTTAAGTGAAAATAGGTCGACGTGTACATGGGTGATACCGTGTAAGTGCAATTCGTAAAAACACGGCAAGCAGTGGGCGATTCTTCACTTTGTCCCAATTTCGCACCTACTCTTCGTCATGATTAAGTACTTTTGTTCTATAAAAGTTCTGGCATAAGCGTAATTCGGCTAGCAGATTGTTGAAAAAAATGTTGAGTAAAAAAAAAAAAAAATAACATGAAACAAACAACGTTGAAAACAAAACTAGCAGGTTGATGTAGCAGGGTTGGTCGCCACATTTTCGTCAAAAATCCGCCAAGTTACCATAATCCAAAGATTAACCATTTATTTTTTAAAAAGTTTTTAATATGATTCAATTCCGTTAATTTGCTTTTTTAGTTTTCATTAGAAAATATATTCGTTTCTATTTGGAACAGAAAATGCGCTGAAGAATATGATTTTAACAAGTGCATTTCCAAACATTTATAACATAGAAGGATTATGAATTAAAATTACTTACTTGAATTAAAATTACTTAATGATAATATTACTTAATGATAACTTGAATATAAAATTACTTAATGATAAAATTACTGTACTAGTTGAAGACATGCACTTTTATACATAAGGTTAGATGAAAAATGATTGACTCACCAAAAAAGATTCCTTATTCGTGAATGTGATTGGATCGGCTGCTTCCACCTCCTGGCATAAATACTGTACATTCCCTTGTTGCTGAATAAGCTTATTGCCTGTTCTGCCCAGCTCGATCACCTCCAACCTCAGACTGTCGGCAACCACTTCCACCTAATAAATCAACAAATCAGTTAGCATCAGGAAACCGTTCGGACACTTTTGCTAAAGCTAAATGTTTAGAAACAGAATATTGAGTTAAGTCAGTTGGTGCACGGTACACAAACTTTAGTGTCTTACCCAGTAGAACCAAAATTTAACTTTCAATTTTGGTGCACTGAAAATTTTGTCTTCCTGCCTGCTGGGAGAATCGCTTGTTATTGATCAGAAGGTATAATTTTAATTGTAAAAAAAAAAAAAAAAAATTAACCTGTTTTTAGCTGTATTTGGTGTTTTATTTTATTTATTTATTTATTTATTTTGTATTTTACGATTTTTAATTAAGAAGTTTTGAGTTTTTTTGCATATTTGTCTTGTCGCCAATAGAGGACTGAATTAATTGAATTTGAAATACATCTCTAATGAAATTCGAGAAAACATGATTAAATGAAGTGCAGTAAAAATATGTACAATTTAATAGGCCGTACAAGGAAGTCATATGTGGTGCCCACATAGATATTTTTTGTATGCTTTTATGAACATATATTTTGACTTTAGACAGTTGCATCAGGTAACTTCAGGAAAACTTCCGAACACTTTTGTTAAAAAATTTTTAGAAACTGCTTTTAATCTTCGTTTAAATTAATTTAGAAGAATGTTTCACAATTTTATAAAACATGTTTAATTTGAAATATGCGATTAACACTAATTCTACTCGTTTGTACAATTCTAGGAAACGTAGTGCTATGAAGAGACGACTTTTTCAGAATGTCTTCCCAAAGTTCTAAATGATCACACTTACAAAGGTATAACGGCCCACCAGCGGCCGAGCGGTAAAGTCGCTGAACACTGGTAGTTCGGTCCGAGGTTCGAATCCCGCGAACGGGCTGGCTGCATGGGCGTTTTCGTGGTTTTCCCCATGTGTAACGTGAATACGAGCCAGTTTCCCTTAGAAAGTCCTCCACGAAAGGCTTTCCTCCCCTTAGGCGGATAGCCCTCGTGTGCTTTGCCATAATTAAATACACCAATACAAAGGTATAACATTAGAAATCAATAATTTAAAATTATGACGAATATTACAGTCTTTACGCATTATGTTCTTTCAAGTGCATATTTCTCAAGTGGTATTTAATGACTGAGTTATGAATGGCTGTGGAGATTTTCATCTAGAAAATACCTACTACACTCTGCTAAAAAATAAGCTGCGAATGCTAAAATGAAATGTTACGAATGCAAAAATGGAAATTAAAGCATACAATTGATATCTGAGGTAGAGGTTGCACCGCCCAATACAAATATCCAACCAAAATTAGCATAAAACGCAATCCTGGAGCCATACCACAACGCCTGAAACTATGCGTCCGTTCGTAAGCAGTGATAGTTCCGTATGATCCGAGATAACGAAAACGGAAAGCGTGAGTCGAAGACACCATATAAACGGTGAAAAGCGCTGGAAGGCTGATAAGCTGGTGCAAGGCCATGCACTGTTGCGAGAGAGCTGAATGTTCATCTTAATGTCATCAATCGGCTGCAAAATCGTTACCAAAGGGATCAAAATCCCTTTAGAAGACGTAGGTCTGGACACCGGAAGATTACCACAGGTGCCCAGGCGATCATTTCCTGTTGTTATGTTCAAGACGCCCTATATCAGCGACAACTGGCATCACATCTCACTGCTGCTGCAGGACGGCCCCTATCCCTCCAAACTGTGTCGCGACGACTGTACGAGCAATATTCGTCATACAGTGTATAGTCGGAATTCAAACGGAGAGCTGCTACACTGATTACCAATAAGTATTTGGACACCTGTGATAGAAAATAAAAACTAACTTTATTCAAAATCAATAGTTGATAGAGCCTCCACGAGAGGTAATTACAGCGTGGACCCTCCGGGGCATACTTTCCACAAGTCTTTGTATGACAGCTAGTGGTATTTTCTTCCACTCGACTTGGAGAAGACATAGAAGTTCCTTCACCGATTTTGCACGGGTAGTGCACCCCTGAATTCGGCGATGCATCTCGTCCCAGAGGTTCTCGATAGGGATGAGGTCTGGACTCTGGGCAGGCCAGTCCATTCGATGAATTCCATTGGCACCATACCAAGCCTTGGTTAACGTCGAAACATGACAACTGGCATTGTCGTCCTGAAAGTAACAGGGATCCAACCTGTAAAACTGCCACAACGTAGGAAGCACATTGTCATCCAGAATAGTGCAGTAGGCATCGGAGTTGAGCTTACCATGAATGGGGACCAAGGGTCCGAGCCCATAGCAGGAGAAACACCCCCAGACCATAATTCCACCTCCACCAATTAGACTGTTGGCACAATGCATTCTGACAGGAGACGTTCTCCAGGTAGACGCCAGATCCAGACCCTCCCATCCGAACGGTAAAGGGTGAACCTTGATTCTTCACTCCAAAGAACCCGTTTCCACTGATCTACGGTCCAATTTCGATGTGCTTTGCATCACACTAACCGAGCAGCGCGGTTGGACTTTGGGATCAAAGGTTTATGGGCAGTAGCACGACCATGAAAACCAAGCAGATGTGCTTCCTTACGGATGGTATTCATTGAAACAATACTCCCGGATGCCTGTTGAAACTCCTCGCGGATGAGGGCCATAGGTTGGGTGCGGTTCTTCCGAATTTCTCTGGACACAGCACTCGTCGGTCTCTATCTCCCAGTTTCGTTGGTCTGCCGACTCGGGGCACATTCCGACAATCACCGCTCACCTTCCAACTTCTTAATCACATAGGCCACTGTCGATTTTGGGTACTTCAGATCACTAGATATGTCCCTTAAGGATCGGCCACATTTGTGATACCCGATAATTATACCTTTCTTGAAATCTGAGAGCTCCGAACTGCGAGGCATCTTGCATGCGACTAAAGCCGATGCTGTTTCCTACACGATATGTACTGGTGGAGTCCGTGACGTACCTTAGGACCGCAGATATCGTCATTTGCATAGGTGTCCAAATACTTATTGGTAGTCATTATAGGTGGCATTGTAAATAAATGGTATAATAAGGGTCAGTATTCTCACCCAACGGCATTTTCTGCCTTTGATTGCCGAGAGAATTGCTGGTTATACGAACCACAAAATATCAAGGGCGATGGATTGCTCGAGGTTGTCCCATAGCTTGGCTACCAAGATCACCGAATCTCTCTTGTTTGGACTTTTCCTGTGGGGCTATATATGAAAAGTCTAATCTACGAGTGCCTCATCGAAACCAATGTGGATCTAGTCGCCAGGATCGCCATTGCTGTTGGCGATATTCGGGAAATGCCTGGTGCCTTCACAAATGGGCATCAATCTCTATCCCGCACGTATGATGCCTGAATGACAACTAGCGGAAGGTCTTTTGAGTAATTTCCATGATCATGTTGCGTTAATAAAATATTTTCTGGAGTATCTCCTCTCATTCTTGTGTTAATTCTTTAAATATGACAGTGGAAGACTACCTTGTAACTGCTTTCCGACCATACTTTCTATGACGAATACTGCTCGTAAAGCTGACTTTTATCACCCCCTAAAATTTGGCCCTCTTGTTCAGATCCACCCTGTATATGCCCACCCAGTTACCCGGCTCGGTGAGCTCAGTTTTTTATTCTTATATGTTGGTATGTTGTGCATTTTCTGCTTTAAAAGTGATTGAATTACACTCAAGAGCCAAAACATTATGACCAGCCCTACATTTTGCGATGAACGCGCCTGGTTGACGTGGAAGGCACGTGATGATGTGGAAGTGGTATTTAAGTGCTGCTGGAGAGTCTGAAGAATCATTCTTTCACTTACTTCTGTGTGTGATGGGAAAGGCTATTGGATCTAAGCGAACTTTGATAAGAGGGCAGATTGTAATGGCTCCGAAGGCTCGGAACAAGTATTTCCGAAACTGGCACGACTCGTGAGGTTGTTCGCGATAGTACAGCCTTTGGTTAAGTACGTATGAAAAGTAGATGAATGACGGTGAAAACAGCAGTAGACGACATGGTGTTGGACGTCCACACGCTATCAAAGAAAAAAGTCGTCGGAGACTGTCTCGCATGGTGAAACAAAACCGGAGCCAGACAGTGGCTCAGCTGACAGCCGAATAGAATGCAGGGCCAAGTAGAAAAGTATCGGAGCACACTGTTGGATATGGTGCTACGCAGCAAACGTCGCACTCGTAGGCCTTTGCTGATCAAGCGTCATCGCCAACTGCGCCTGCGCTGGTCCCGGGAACATAGCGACTGGTCCATGGATCAGTGGGAGAGAGTTGCCTGGTCAGATGAATCACGGTTTGTCATTCATCACGCGGATGGCCGTGTCAGGATACGCTGTCTTCCAGGCGAACAGTTGCTCTCTCAGTGCACAGTAAGTCATACACAGGCCGGTAGTGGCGGTATTATGCTCTGGGGGGCATTCTCTTGGGCGTCTCTGGGACCTGTGGTTGTGGTAGAGCAGACCATGAATGCTACAGGGTATCGGAACATCATTGCGGACCAGTTGCACCCTTACATGGCCTCTGTTTTTCCAGCTGGAAATGGAATGTTCCAACAGGACAACGCCCCGTGTCACAAGGCTACAATTGTGTTGAAGTGGTTCCAGGAACATGCTGCTGATTTCCAGTTAATGTCCTGGCCGCTTAACTCACCGGATCTCAATTCGATAGAACACATTTGGGATGTCATGAGACGGCAGCTCAGAGGTCAAAGACCCCCAATTTCTATACGGATTTGCGTGACTGTTGCTACAACATCTGGTACAATCTGTCTCCGGCCATCTATAAAGGACTTGTGGCATCCATGCCAAGGCGGGTTGTAGCTGTGTTGCGCGTCAAAAATGGCCCAACTCGTTATTGACAGGTGGTCATAATGTTTTGGCTCTTAAGTGTATACTGTTGGTATGTTCTGGTTAAGGTTTTTATACCTTTAGTTAATCTGCTTGCAATAGTCGTAGAACTATCAACAATTTAATAGTTGCTTAAGTGCTACTAAGCCTAACCAAGCCGCCATTTGTTTACATTTGAAACTCAGTAGAATATTGAATTAAATCAGTTGTTGCGCCGCTTTCAGTGCCTTTTTACATAGGTGGGACCGAAAGTTAACTGCATTGAAGCTATTCCCTTTAAATGCAGTTTTGGTGCACCGAAAATTTTGTCTTCCTACCGGTTGGCCGGATTGCTTGTTATTTCTTATAAACTCTGATTTTAACAGTAAAAAATTGTTTTTCAAACTGTTTTTAAATGCACTTCGTGTTTTAGGTTTTCCTGTATTTGACAATTTTTAATGAAGTTTCAGTTTTTACGTATTTCCTCCTTGCCTTAAACATAAAACTAAATTGGTTGAATAAGAAAACATATCTCTAATGAAATTCGGGGAAATATGTTTAAATGAAGTGCAGCAAAAAGAATTTGTATAATTTGATATATCATGTCCGCATGAGATATTTTCTCTATGCTTTTATGAAATTATATTTTGACATTAGACAGTTACATCTGAATTTTAAAATTACGAGTATTTATATATACAGCGTATTGAGAAAAAAAGGTATTGCACTGCTTATTGTTTTAGGAATGCGAAAATATCTGCTATCATTTAATGCTTCGAGTCTCATAAATGCATCTTGTTCTTGACTAGAAATATTAGCGACTAGAAGCTAGTTCGGTGACTAGAAATAATAACTTTTACGCATTCATTAATGAACTGAAGCAGCAAGAATAGAATATGTAGCTCACTCCAAAGATAAATTGCATGTCATATCACGAAAAAGTTTTAATTAAGGGGCCTCATACACCTTAAATCCCTTAACATCCTTCGAATATGTGACTGTTGCAAGAATTGGAATATTTTATTTATTTTAAAATCAATTACTTCCAACTTTTTACAGCTGACTTCATAATATAGCTGCTTTGGAAACTAGTAAGCAGAAAGTTTGTGTTGCCACAAATATTTTTGAAATTTAATACGCTTTGTGACAAAATTTTTCTTCACGTTTCCACCTTGCGTGCACGATATTTTAAAAATGGCTATTGGTACATACTTGAAATTGGATGGAATTCTTTATACGAGGCCTATTTTTTAACTGAACCAAAAATCTGATGAATATTTTAATATTAAAAAATTTTGTGGACGAAAACATTACAGATTCTTTTTAATAAAATACATTTTATACACTTGACTCCAAATAAAATAAAAATATAACATGAAATTCTTAGAATTTTTGGTTCACAGTAGTTTCCAAATGTTATAAAAGCTATATATTAAATGTGGAATTAAATTATGCAACATAATGTTTTAAACTGCGCGCACAAGGTGGAAACATGACGAAAACTTTTGTCAAAAAGCGGATTAAATTATAAAAATATTTTTGGCAACACAAACTTTCTGATCACTATTTCAGAAAGCAGCTATATTATGTAGTCAGCTGTAAAAAGTTGGAAGTAATTGCTTATAAAATAAATAAGTTATCCAAATTCTTGCAACAGTCATATGTTCGAAGATCTTATGGGTTTTAAAGTGTACGAGTCCCCTTAAAGTGTGCAATGTGTTCATCATAAATAGAGTGTTAAAATGAGTTAGGAGAGAGGTATCCTTTTTGTTAATATTTATCTATTAAAATGCATGTTAACTTATAGAAACTGGCAACCATGCTTGAATAGCCTTATAAGAGGTTTTTGCATTGCAACAGCCAGTGTTCCAACATGATTAAACCCTTACATAGGAGAAAGCTCTATTTTGCATTTCAGTTTTATTCAGAGGTCATTAAAGGTCAAATCAGCGAATAGGGAAGCTGGTTGCTTACCTTTTTTATGCATCCAACGAAGTTGGAATGTTGCCTGGCGCCCTGATGTCCTGCGGAATGGTCAGATCCTCCCACAAAGAGCACGCTACTGGACAAGAGATTGAATGTCCCCGCCGTGGACCCTCTCTCAGTGTACACTCCGTCCACCGTGATAGAAAACTGCACGAAACATTCATTACCTGTACCTGTGCACAACCATAAATAGCGATAACAACAACGAATTAATTATAAAAGAAACCTATCCTTTCGCGAGTCCTTTTTGTTTTACGAAAACATGCCTGATGGACAACACAATCTATAACGAATAATTTTATTAATTCCTAGGCCTGATACATTATGGCTGCCAAAAATTGTGTAAAATATTTTTAAGAAATTGAACTCTCTATTATGCCTGTAAATAACATTTTCTTTTCCAATAGCGGGTCCTAGCCATTATAGGCGTTGCCTTCTTTATTATTGAGGCAACTTTTAGGTGAGCCACTGTTGGCTCCTAAGCAAGGACAGACAATTTACATCTGTATTTCCTTCGAGATTCGAACCCGGGTTCTCTACGGCAGACAGAGTCATTAAACATTTTACCGTCTATTACGCTGCTGCAAGTACAGAAGGTGTTTACACATTTTTGTAACGATTTTTGATTTTCTCCACAAATTTAAATATTAATTTTAAAATACGAACGTAACTGGCATCTAGTTGGTATAAGACTTATTTATCGTCTGCAGCATTAAAAATGCACTCAAGCCTGTTATTGCGCGGTCTTTTTTTGTGCCATTTTTTTTTTTTTTTTTGTGCGCTATATGAAAATTTCAATCAAACTGGAACATTACTGACGAAGTTATCAATAAATAAATAATCAATAAAAAAGGGAGCTTCAGTCAATACAAAAGTCAATAAAAAATACAATAAAAAAGGGAGCTTCACTCAATACATAAAAAATAAATAAATAATCAATAAAAAAGGGAGCTTCAGTCAATACAGAAGTCAATAAAAATAATAAATGAATAATCAATAAAAAAGGGAGCAGCTTCAGTAAATACTAAAGTCAATAAAGAGTAATAAATAAATAATCAATAAAAAACGGAGCTTCAGTTATACAAAAGTCAATAAAAAGTAATAAATAAATAATCAAAAAAAAAAAAAAAAAAAAAAAAAAAAAGGATGCTCAGTCAATACAAAAGTCAATAAAAAATAATAAATAAGGAGGTATATTAATGGGAAAGGTGTATATCTGACTACCAAGACATATACAAGCGTCCAGTCACAGCAAACAACCCTAGCAAAAAAAGAAACTGATCACCGACTACATGGTAACTAAAAATTCAACTTTAAACGACTCTGACTCTATTTTTTATAGCTTACTCGTGAAGTTTTGTGCAATTTTTTATGCCTTTTTTTATGCAGTTCCTATTCACGGCACAAAAACAGGCTTGAGTGTATTCGTTTCTTTAAAATATAGCTAAAAAATAAACAATGGATCGAAGGCTGTATTTTTGCGCTGTCCGAAGAGAAATATTGTTATCCATGTATTAGAAAAAGATGTGAAAAGCATGGTTTTAATATTTTTACACTTCAAATAGGTGACATAATTAATATGAAAGGAAAGAAACGTCAAAGTTTACAGCAGACTGGGAAAAAGGCAAAAAATGCATACCCAACAAAAAGTGCGTACAGCTGTTGTTAAATCTAAAGTCGCATTTCGTGTTTTAAAGGAAAATTCAACCTCCCAAAGAGCTATTTCAAAATCTTTCAATATCTCTGTAGGAACTGTGAACAAAATTCTAAAATTTGTTTTAAAGTTAATCAAAGCAAAAAAACATGATGTTCATCGCCTAACACCGAAACATGTTTCTCGGCGTAAGACTATATGCAGATTGCTGTGTGAAAATTATTTGGCAGGTGAAAATGGAAATGTATAGTTACACTTGATGAGGGTTGGATATATTTATTTGACTGCAAGAGAAAAAGATCGGCTTACTACCGAAAAAGAGGAGAAAAGGAGGACATATTTTGGTTCAGAGAAAACGAGGAAAGTTTTTCTAAAGGTTTTATGGTTATTAATGTATTGTCTTATAAAGAAAGTTTAAAATTAGGAAAGTAGGAAAAATAATCAAAATTAATTCGAATTAACATCAGTAAATATGTTTTAATACGTATTATTAAAGAAACAAGTCCATCTCCTTTTCCAAACAATCTTCACTATGATAAGTTACGTCAGGATAAGGCTCCAAGCCATACTTCTAAATCTACTGCTCTATTTCTTTGCAGAAATGAGAAATGAAATTGGAAATGGAGCTGTTTCCTTTAAATGCATCCCATCCAAGTCTCTCGTGTCTTATATGGATTACTGTGCATCTGCACTGTTAAAACAAGCTCTTTATAAGCAGCATCCCAACACATTGGATGGACTCTGGAACATTGTGAAGGAGGAGTGGAATAAAATCAACCTTGATGTTTTAAGGAAAGGACTTTTATTATGGAAATCGAGATGTAAAAGTTCAACAAAAGACCATCAGACTGAACATATCAGAAAATAAAGTTCTGAGGATTGTTTATATACACTGACTACCAATAAGTATTTGGACACCTGTGATAGAAAAGAAAAACTAACTTTATTCAAAATCAATGGTTGGTAGAGCCTCCACGAGAGGTAATTATAGCGTGGACCCTCCGGGGCATACTTTCCGCAGTCCTTGTATGACAGCTAGTGGTATTTCTTCCATTTGGCTGGAGAAGACACAGAAGTTCCTTTCACCGATTTTGCACGGGTAGTGAACCCTGAATTCGGCAATGCAACTCGTACAGAGGTTTCAGGTCTGGACTCTGGGCAAGCAGTCCATTCAATGAACTCCATTGGCACCATACCAAGCCTTGGTTAACGTCAAAACATGACAACTGGCATTGTCGTCCGGAAAGTAACAGGGTCCAAACGTAAAATGCAAAACGTAGAAAGCCTTGTCATCCAAAAAAGTGCAGTAGGCATCGGAGTTGAGCTTACCATGAATGGGTACCAGGGTCCAGCTCATACCAGGAGAAACACCCCCAGACCATAATTCCACCTCCGCCGAACTGACTGTTGGCACACGCATTCTGGCAGGAGACGTTCTGCAGGTAGACGCCAGACCCAGACCCTGCCATCCGAACGGTAAAGGCTGAACTTGATTCGTCCTCCAAAGAACTCGTTTTCCATGATCTACGGTTCAATTCCATGTGCTTTGCACCATATTAACCGAGCAGCGCGGTTGGACTCTGTGATCAAAGGCTTATGGCAGCAGCACGACCATGAAAACCAAGCAGATGTGCTGCTTACGGATGGTAATTGAAACAATACTCCCGGATGCCTGTTGAAACTCCTCGCGGATGAGAGTCATCGGTTGGGTGCGGTTCTTCCGAATTTCTCTGGACAGCACTCATCGGTCTCTATCTTCCAGTTTCTTTGGTCTGCCGACTCGGGGAACATTCCGACAATTACCGCTTACCTTCCACTTCTTAATCACACAGACCACTGTCGATTTTGGGTACTTCAGATTGCTAGATATGTTCCTTAAGGATCGGCCACATTTGTGATACCCGATAATTATACCTTTTTCGAAATCAGAGAGCTCCGAACTGCGAGGCATCTTGCATGTGACTAAAGCCGATGCTGTTTCCTACACGATATATACCGGCGGAGTCCGTGACGTACCTTAGGACCGCAGATATCGTCATTTGCATAGGTGTCCAAATACTTATTGGTAGTCAGTGTATAAATCTTTGCAAATTCGTATAAAATGTGTAAATATTCTCCATAGCAGCGGTTTTCAACCTTTTGATTAACGCGTGCCATCTAAACTATCTAACAAAATTTAAAAACCTTTAGTACCACCACTACAAAGTACTACTACTACCACCACCCTTCTTGAACAAAGCTCAGATCCCATAAATTTACGAGTGCTAGAGAAAAACACAATCAGGATGTTGAGATTTTATTGTTTTTATTTAATAGTTAGTAATACTTTGCTTCTTTGCGTACCACCGGTTGAGAATCCTTGCTCTATAGTATTGGAGTACTGCTTGATTACTGTGTTAATATTTTATCAACAACTAATATATTTTATAGTTTTCCTGTGGCAACATTTAATTAAAATACGCTGCAGTCCAAAAAGTAAAATACCTTTGCACGGCTTTAACGGGCATACTCCTATCATAATTTCGAGACTAAACTCTAAATAAATAATGACATCCTACGTCTACCATTAGCTGAGTCTATGTTTTGAAAAGGAACTTCAAATTCAAGCGGTTTAAATTCTCCAGAGGCTGTGCATCTACGCGATAAAAGAAGCACTCATATGCTCTGAAATACTTTATTTACAAGATAAGTACTGACTTACCAGAAGAAACGAAATATAAAGAGAGAAAGAAGAGTACATCTTAATGCATTGCTCTCACACTGAAATTCAGTAGAAAAACATAGTTATGTTTTCCTACTGAATTACAAACGACATACTTAAATTAATAGCTTTTATGTAAACAGTCACATAAGACCTTTGCTTTGCCATATGCAAGACTATGTATTTTAAGAACAAACAAACGTAAATGTTATTAAAAAGCAGAACTGCATTACAAAACATAAGCAGTTGTTTCGCAGTTTTACTTTTCTTCTGACAACGATTAATTATCTCTAGAAGATTTAGAGTGAATAAATTATTTTGAAAATAAGTGATAATCTGACAATATACACGTAATTATATTATGTCAGGTATTCCTGCCATTTTTAACCCGGCGGAAGTCGCACCAAGAAAAGCTACTAGAGTGGGCGCGTGGGGTATCACATACCCCAATATTTAAAATACGATGAAAATAGTTTTATTTAGTTTTAAAGCTGTTTTCCTTGTTCTCGTGTATTATAAATGCGTGAATAATATTGGGTTTCAAAAATTAATTTCTAAAATAATCTTAGAGTTAAAATTAAGATAATAAATTAATAATAAAAAAATAACATCATGCCTTATAATTCATTGCATCTCTAATACACAATGTATTTTTATTTCTTCACACTTTGAACGAAATACATTCTGTTTTCTTGGCGCAGAATATTTAACATTTTAAACATGCATTCCGTTAATCTGTCCTTGGAGCGAGGGCAAAAATTTATCACATCTTCATACTTAGTGTTTAAATTTACGTATTCGTTTTAATTCTTCGTCGAAACTTCTGCTTTTGTTTTGCATGCAGTACGTCAATTTCTTAGAAAAATATTAATCTCTGATCTTTGTTCAATACTTTTTTTCATTAACTGTAATGCTAAGTCCTTCAAAAACAGACTTCTGTTTCTGGTTGGTGGATTAGCAGTCGAATGTAATATAATTCAAGTATTTATTACAGCAACATTCAGTGCAGGAAAGAAAATTACCATTGACCACCTCCTTGTTATTCTGCAATTGAATAATTGGCTGACATTTCATCCCCCATATCCACTGCTCCTTTAGTCATATTATAAAAACATATAATTCTGACGTTTATTCTCCAATAGTATCACCTTATATGACCGTTATTAATGTTGAAAGCATAAAAACAGTTTTTACTTTTTAAGGAACATCAGGAATTAACGTTTTATCTTTTTCGAAACCAAAACAGTGTAGAAAATATTCCTAGTTTCATCTTCAGTTTCCGAAAACCAGTCTTCATCGCTTTCAAATATTTCTAAAAAATCTCACAGGCGTTGCATCTCCAATTCACAGGGAGTCATTCTTTTAACCACAATGCGGTTAGAAATTTTTAAGAATTTAATTCAAGTACTTTAAAATCACTTGCGAATACAAATATTTACTGTTGCACTCTAGAAATAAATTTCTGAACTAAATATTCATTCAGAAAAACACTTACGGGGACAGGTGCATGGGGTGCGTCATACCCTAGTTCCAACAAAATACGGATAAACCTTTTTCTGAAACACACAGGCAACGAAAAAGCGGTTCTGAACGTCAACCACTCCCCCCGGGGGTCGACGTAGAGAACTCTGCGAAGCTACTGGCTAGGATCTGTACCTAGGCAGTCTCGGCCACGGGGCATAAAATTTCTGAACTTGGTGGGTCTGAAGCCCCCGGGAAAGGTCATTTATTGGCCGGCCTCGGGGACTGGCATATCCTGAGCGGTGTGGAACCGTAGCCGGAGGGCTTGGTTCCCCTCGGTTTGCTGGGTAACGGCCCACTGCGACGGGCTCGCCCATGCGACTGGTAGGAGCATTAGACGACCGGTGCTGCCTGGTGAATTCCAGGTGGTGCGCTGCTCCCCTGGATGGGTAATAGTGGAGGTTGAACCTCCACGAAGTGCCCAAAGGGGGAGTAGACCTGTAGTTTGATTTAGTTCAAGAGGCAGGGAAGCCTAAAAAAAATTTGTTTGAACGTCAACCACAACTAGAAACTCAGCTATTGAAAGAAGCACAGAATTTTCGTTTCACAAGTTAGGAATAGTCCAACTTTATATGTAGGGTTGGGGTATGATACACACCACGCGCTTTCCCACGGGTTAACAAAGGAAAGATAAAATAAGCTACTCACGTGACAAAAGCTGGTCGCTCGGGTGATCTGTAAAAGACAAAAAAAAAAAAAAAAAAAAAAAAAAAAAATTAATAAAATTTCGTTACGGAAAACGTTTTCAAATCACGTTTTACATTATGAAACAGTAAAATCACAGAAAATAAGTATGCGAGACAACTTTATTGTTCAATGGCAAACAACTACATTAAATAATTAAATTAGTGCCATAATTAACAATTTTTGCTGTGCTGTGGAAAGTGAAATTAGCTGAATGAGTTAAAGCACTTTTGCTATCACCTGTTTTTACATTTAAGACTTTTAACTATTTGTTTCTGATTTCACTATACGTCACGTAACATAAAGACATAAATAATGACCAAACGCATAGTGATGTGCATTCATATTTCCAAATAATTTCGGTGCTAAAGCATATATTTACTGCACGAAGAACTTGTTATGTTGCGTAGATGAATAAAATAAACCGTGAAGGTCATTTGTCTAATATGGTATGCATTCGTGGAGAAACTGCTGAGGTAACGGTTTATTGGTTGGTTTGGTTTATTGAGATTACGGCAAAGCACACTAGGGCTATCTGCCTATGGGGAGGGATGCCTTCATGGAGGACTTTCTAAGGGAAACTGGATCGTATACACGTTACACATGGGGAAAACCACGAAAACGCCCATGCAGCCAGCCCGTTCGCGAGTTTCGAACCTCGGACCGAACTACCAGTGTTCAGCGAATTTACCGCTCGGCCACTGGCGGGCCGCTGAGGTAACGGACTTCTATTAATACTATTTCCCAAAGGTAAAACTACAGGAACACAAGGGAACATCGTCTCAAGTTTCTGGTTAGTTTCAATGAAAAACGTTTAAATCAGTAGTAGTTATCCTGCATTTATTTCAACAAAACGCATTCCAAAAATGGGATTGGGGATTATTCAATTATGGCAAAGCCCACGAGGGCTATCTGCCTAAAGGGAGGGGTGCCTTCGTGGAGGACGTTCTAAGGGAAACTGGCTCCTATACAACGTTACACACGGGGAAAACCACGAAAACGCCCATGCAGCCAGCCCGTTCGCGGGATTCGAACCTCGGACCGAACTACCAGTGTTCAGCGTATTTACCGCTCGGCCGCTGGTGGGCCCCATTCCAACAATGGCTAGCATTTCATTTGTCTTAATGGTGAAAAAAACTCTCTCTCTCTCACACACACACACAAAAAAAAGGGTAAAAGAATGGGTAGAAATGTAAATCCATATTCTGCAAATTTACATGTAATCATTCAGTTTACTAAATAAATATATAAATGAATAAAATAAATAAAAATGTCTGAAAGCTTTTAGATTTTATATTACGTCCAAAGGGGCTTATTTTTTAACGGTCTGAGTGTTAACTTTATTTTTTAACGGTTTATATTTATTTTCTGTGTGTTAAATGTTATGTTCTTCGCACTTAAACCATAAAATTCAATTCAACGGCAATATCGCAAAATAGTTTAAAAAGAGCATATCTTTAGAATTTCCGATACACAGCTTCGCGCGCTGGAGATAAAAATGATTTTTTTTCTTTTTTCCATACAGTGTTGCCAGTGCTCGCTTAGAAGTCATTGAGTTTCTAAATCAAAAAGTCATTTATGCTTTACAAAATATGAAACAGATAATAAAAAAATTCCAAATTCCGAATTTGGGCTTCCAGATGCCCATATTCGAGTGAAGACGTACGTTATTTCAAATTCGATGGCTCTAGGCACCGTTGTAATATCACAATTCGAGAAACATACATACATTTATGCAGATCCTTCATTGTTTAATTTCTTTAAATACAATGCAGGGCGATGGCAACAATTTGAAAAGTAATTCAGACTTTTAAAGTTTTCGATGCAGAGTGGCAAAACGAAATTAATAGCCCTTCTGGGTTAGCTCCCAGAACTTAATTTCTCTTAGTTACTTTAAAAAAAAACCCTCTTAGTTACTTTTTTAAAAGAACAAAAGGAACGTTTACCCGGAATGGGCTGTCAGCTAATATCCCAATAATACGTTAACCACTAGCTGCCAGGCCGCAGCCCTGGGCCGCCCCAGCAGAGCAGACGGCATTTATTAAATGCAAAAAAGGAATATACATATGTCTACAAGACATCTGAAGAAGAGTATAATCAAAATACATGTATATGTCACGGTGAAACACCGAAATCTGGAGAATGTCGACTTTCACCGGCGAGTGTCAACATTCACATAGTTTCTTGGTGTATGTCCGAAATATTTTCCAGATACTCTTATTTCTGACTTACACCGGTCAATGTCGACATTCACCATGTACTAATGGTGAATGTTAAACATATAACAATATTATATTCTCTTCTCCGTCATTCAGTCGCGAATAAACGCACTTGAAACTTGAAATAAGAACGTAAGAACATGAGAACCTAAAACACGCAATACATTCAAAATGAAAGGAAAATAATAGAAGTTAAAAACTTACTTAATTATACAGTACATTCTAAATGAGAAATTAAAATAACAGTAATAAAAAACTTACTAAATTATGTCATTCAAATCTTATTTATTGCAACAACTTAAACAATTATGGAACTTTATGACCTCTCTTTTCGACTTTCACCAGAGCATATCTGTGATTGTCGACATACACTGGTGTACAAAAATTAAAGACGAAGTCGAAAAATTAGCATATCAGCTGAACGAAGAGGCAGAGAGCGGACAGAAAGACCAATCAGGAGATTAAGTAAGGTGATGTACGGTAGCACATGCGCAGATATGCAGGTAGACGTAATGGGGGAGTGCCTGAGTAGTATAAAGCATGTTGTCGGTGTAAGATCAGTATTTCTGGCAAAGAGATTGCACGTCGTATAGCAGTTAAAATCACACCGAGTTGCTGCGTCAGCGAGAAATGGCGAATAATCATCTGTTAGACGACATCTGGATGCTTTTACCCGAGGTCGAATCATTGGGAAGTTGGAGGAAGGCCGCAGTGTGACAAGTGTGGCTGCAGAGTTCGGAATTGCTCACAGCATCGTTTCACGACTTTGGAGACAGTTTCAAACTAGAGGAACAGCTATCCGGGGGTTTAGTAGTGGTCGTCCACGAGGAACCACACCCGCAGACTACCGGTATATTGCCTTACAGGCCAGAAGAAACAGGCGGCAGACAGCGGGAGAAATCGCTAGACATACGACACAGGCGACTGGACGACCGATATCGCGTTTTACCGTGGCCAGAAGACTGCACGGTGGTGGTCTGTTTACACGACGCCCTGTACGGTGTGTACCTCTAAAGCCTGCGCATCGGAGAAGGCGTTCTCTGTGGTGCCGGAAACACCGGAATTGGAGAGACAATGAATGGGGACGAGTACTCTTTACAGGTGAGAGCAGATTCAGTCTGAGTAGCGATTCTCATCGCATACTCACCTGAAGAGAGCGGGGAAGCCGCAATTATCCCTCGAACATCATTGAAAGGGACAGGTATGGAGGTGGCGGTGTTCTCGTTTGGGGGAGGCATCTTGCTTGGTAGTCGTACAGACCTTCACATCTTCGACGCAGGTTCAGTCAACGGGACCCGTTATTGTAACGAGATTCTTCTTCCATATGTGTGTCTTTTTAGAGACGCTATGGGTCCGCAGTTCCTTTTCATGGACGACAATGCACCATGTCATCGCCCAGTAGCTGCCGAAAAGCTCTTAGAGAGTGAGGATATTGAACGTATGGATTGGGCGGCACGATCTCCGGATCTCAATCCCATCAAGCATGTATGGGATTTTCTAGGCAGACGCTTGGCAGCTCGTACCTTATCACCAGTAACGATTCCGGAGCTTCGATTGGCGCTGCAAGACGAATGGGCAGCAATGCCTTAACAACTCATTGACACCCTGATTCTCAGCATGGGCAGACGCTGTGAAACCTGCCTAGCAGTCAGGGGAGATCATATCCCCTATGAAAGACCGGATGTTTCTTGCTGGACACACCCATCACGGGGATGTTTTCGCCTTCAGTCGCATTGTGTTCCATGCTACGTTTTCAATAAAGCTTCTTTTATCCCTCTGATTTCTCTTTTAGTAAGTGTTGCTTACATTACTCATGTCCTTACGAATTGGGGATCTTACGGTATTAAATGTGTTGATTTGGAAAGCTTTTGTACAAAGTTATATTGAAAAGCCGTCTTGTCCTTAATTTTGCACACCAGTGTACACTGGTGAGGGTCAGAATATACAAGAATGTAGTGAAATATTCGGTCTTTCACCGATGTATTTGGTGAATGTTGACATTCTCCGGTGAAATTCGACATTCTCCAATTTCGGTCTTTCACGGTAACATATATACATATAAATACCAACTCAGAGCCTACTGCGGTACCGAAGGCCCTGGGCTCGAATCCCGGTGAAGGCATGGATGTTTGTAAATGTATAGTGTCTTTGCGGCATGGGGGGAACTCTAAACATGTGGCAAGCCGAAGGTCCTCTCGTGTGTTTTGGTGGAAAGGGAGAGATGAGTCTCGTGTGATTTGGAGGAAGACCCCCCCCCCTATGTACTCACCCTCAAAATTGGGATGGAAGTCCAACCTCCCTGAGGTTCTGGCAACCATTCTTCCATAAAATTCACAGACAAGACAAAAATAACACCTATTTAATCTTTCATAAATCTTGATGAAATTTTGATCAACAAAATTTCAACGATTTCAAAGTGACCAGTGGAAACATTGACGGAATCTGTAGTGTTTATCTCCAGAGCGCGAGACTGTTTATCTGAAATTCTTAAGATCTGCTGTTTTTAATTTCTTTGTGATCTTGCTGTTGAGCAGAATTTCATGTGATGTAAGAGCCAAGAACATGATATTCAATAAATAAAGTAAACACATAAAAGTATAATAATTTCCAAAAAAGTTAAAAAAAGTCATCTCAGTAAAGAAACTGAACATTGCGTGAAAATAGGCTTTAACCCATACTCATTTAAAAAATCGCGCCAAGGCCGTAATTGGTATTTGGTTGCGTTAACGTAGATTACAACAATAATTTTGTCGCCAAGGGTTTAGGTTAAAG